TGATAAGAGCGCACGCTTGAGAAACAGTTTAGAGAGGAGAAATCAATCTACATATAAAATATTGGTCACAGATTATTACTTTCTAAATAATAAAAGTATAGCACATCCACTAGTAATTATATATAGATAAATCGGTTTTTACCGATGCAAATATGTTAGAACCGATGCATCGCGATACAAATGCTGACTTGTAGCCGATACACCCTTTTTAAACCGATGCATCGCATCGTTAACTTTTTATGCCGATGCACCGAGCGAATCGGGGAATCTTCCCATCCCTAGTTTGTATAATGAGTGTGTTGTAGGTCTGAGTTTTATTGGTTGTTTTCTCCCCTCTTCACTCCCACTTTTCCACAGTTTTACACGGCCATTTCTGGAGTCTTTTTTCAGATCTAAGGTGTGAAAGACCAGTGCTGAAACAGAGGGGTTTCATGACACTGAAGAAGCGGTGAAGGATCAGTGAACGTTCATCAGGACAGATACGTACGCCTCTCTCCATGGCATCCAGAATGCTTTCCAGAATCTCAATCTTCTCAAGCCTCTTCAGACTCAAATCATTCGACACGCTGAAAGACAGACAATGAAAAACAATTATTAGGGCTGGACGATTTTTTAGAGGTTATTGATTAATTTGAATTAGGGTTGTACTGTTTGACGATAAAAATGTCTCCACGATCTGCTTTGGAATCAATGTATCATTATACTGTACAACGTGACATACATTCACATCTAATGTTAACTCAGCGATAGTTACTCTCACGGGACGCTGCATTACTTGCACTACATTATTTGCATGCGCTTTAAAGTTTTCATTCACGTGCTGTTCTGACGTGCGCTATTTCTGAGCATGTACACCCGAAGCGCGCACTAAAGAGCCTGTCAAACAGCGCCTGATCACTGGACTAAGTTATCTTTAGCGCTAATACTTTCAAAACAAACAAGGCTCACATATAGACTCAATTGGTTATGTCTAAAATGAAAGAGAAAAACGCATGCGTGTCTGTATATTAGATGCGTGCTGGTCTTAAAGGGACAGTACTAAACATGCTGCCGACTGTCATTAAAGGGATAGCTCACCCTAAAATGTAATTTACTCACTCATATGTTGTCCCAAACCTGTATTAATTTCTTTCTTGTGCTGAACACAAGAGATGATATTTTGAAGAAAGTTGCTGGTCCACTATGGAATACTATTTTCCACGTTCTTCAAAATAGCATTTATGTTCAGCAGAAGAAAGAAACTCATTCAGGTTTAAAACAACTTTTGAATGAATATATTATGGTATCAAAATAAAAGATTATGGCAGAATTGACAGACAGATTACAATTTTTATTTTTGGGTGAACTATTCCTTTAACGTTAATAAAACACTAAAACACAAAGAGACAAATCACTCACTACTCTTGACTGAAACACTTGAATACAGTTGCTTTAATAGGAATCAATCTATGTTATTTGTAGACCTCATGTTATTTGTAACTTTGTTCTAGTTTATTTACCTAAGCTTTGCATGTAATTTGTTTATTTGTTCATATGTTATTACTGAAGGTTCACTTGTCTTTGATAATGTTTGACCTTTACTAGTTATGCTACTTGCTTTTGCTGTGGTATCGAAGAACAGTTCTTTAAATAAAAAACAAAACTTGATCTGATCTGTGACTCAAAATCTGTAATATGATCCGAACCGTGAATTTTGTGATCCATGACACATCTACTCTCACGATTTGTTATTTGAAGGAAAAACACAATCACAGTTGTCTTCAATCATGCTGATTTGTCCACAGTTAAGTTCAGCCAATATCTTTTTTTTTCAGGCCAGTTAAATTCATTTTCGACAACAAAAATCTGAAGAATGCCTGCCTGAAGAATTCTGAAATTTGAGCCCCGTGTTTCATCAGAGAGACGCAAAAGATGCAAGACACGAATGCAATGGTCAAACATGTCCATCAAGTACAAGTTTACATAGAAAAGCAGAAAGCTGTGCAGATCTACTACTGTATGTCTAATATTTGATGATGCTGACTGAAAGCTCAGCATAGATGATTATTAACAGTCAGAGGTGGACAGTAGTGAAGTATTTTCCCTTTACTCAAGTAAATTATCTGTACTTTATCAGTGGTTTTCTTTGCAGTAAAAAGGACATTATTATGCTTTGGAATGTTGTGAAGTAAAAGTTTTCTAAAGAAAAACACATAACATACAGACACCTGAAAAGTACTTTTACAGCAGAGTAAAAATACTTCACTACTGTCCGCCTCTGACTGTTAATAATCATCTATTACTGCTGTTATACTGACAGTCAGGAAGAGTTTGAGTCACCTTGACTTTATGAGAAGACCTCTAAAACTGAAGGTCTACATTTTAGCTAAAAATATTTATCTTTTTTTTTTTTAGTTTTAAACTATTTTTGAACATATGGGTGAGTATGTTTAAGAAACAAATTGAAAAACATTTGCCTTCATATTTCATGCATCTTTTCTGATGAAAGATATTTAACAAATCATTTGTTTTACATTTACACCATGTGTGCTGCACTTGGAAAATAACTTTAAGCAGATGCTTAATAAAGAAAATGTTACTTGAACCATGTGGTATTTACATTTCCAAGTTGACTAGTTTAAAAAAAAATCATTTGATTGGTAAAACATTCAGGAAAACCTATATAAATTTTTTGCCATTTTGCCAGCGCCTGTAAAGAAACTTCTCAGATCCTCACTGTCACATCAGATGTGAATCTTTCCTGAAAGCGACTCACTTTGAGTCCAGAAAGCCCATCTCCACGGCCCAGAAGGTGGCGGGGTGATTGTCCTGCTGTCTCAGGAGGATATGCCACCAAAACACAGACACATGCATCAGATGACCCACGTGCTTCTTCACCTCGAGCTTTATCTTGGTCCAGCGCTCATATATGACGTCTGTAAAACACAGCAACACTGAAACACCTGCAGCGGCGATCACTAATGATAAAGAGAGTGTGCAATCACTCACCGGGCGGCTCCATGTGAATGTACGGGAACTGGCTCTGATAGATCTGAGTGAGAAACAGTGAATCACAGGTGTGTTCAGCACAGACTGACGCCTTCGTCTCAATTCTACTCACGATCTTGGTTCGGTGTCGCACCACGTCTGCTCGTTCCTCCAGATCCGAGTCTTCCGAGTCTGACATCCTTATGAAACACAAAAACACAGCATGCAAGCTTCAAACTCACTGGACCAGATTACACTTCTTCAGTTACGTTTCCCACAAAGCACCTCATCTGAGCCCCACCTACTTCCAGACCAGTGTTGCCAAGTCATTTATCATGATGCCATGTATTTTACCCACTGGAACACGATTTTACCGGGGGATCCCCCCTGAAAAGCGATCGGGCTAGTTTTGAGTAGCAATTGGACGGGTTTTGCTGTGAAAACCTGGCAACCCTGCTTCCAGACCACTGTTGCCAAGTCCGCGTTTTCCCGCGGAATTGGGCTACTTTAAGCGACCCCAATAACGTGATATTTAGCCCATAAAATGCGAGTTTCACTACGGGAACCTCGCCAAAAACATGTATTTTAACGCGATTTTTATCGGGGAACCCCCTCGAAACGCGATTGGGCTAGTTTTTGAGTAGCAATTGTGCGGGTTTTGTTGTGAAAACCTGGCAACACTGTCATCCAGACGCACTCTTACAACGAATCAGCACAGTATGAAACAACAACACACGCTAATGCTGCGGCTCGGTTATATATGATATATGAATGATTTATGTGATTCAGAGACCGGTTCCTCCACCTGAGCGCGTCTGACGGAGTTTTCCCCTCAGCTCGTTTGATTTGAATGTTTGTCGTGAAAAGCGTCTGAAACACGAAACCGAATATCGCTAACGTTAACAGTCGGGCCTCGCGTTTACTTTAATAAAGCACAACACCTGCTTGTAACCTACACGAGAACTAACACGTTTAATGGTCAACCAGATGAACTTCATAGGGAAGTTAAACGCGACGCGTCTGTGCCGCAGATGTTTAACTTACCTCAAGTAATTAGCGTTGCAGATGTTTGCCTGAAACGTAGCTGTCGCGCAAACACCTGAAGTCGGTTCTTACCGTGAGACATCCCGCGGTGTTGTGAATGTGATTAACGGTGTTTATTACCTGTTTTGATTTTTTTGGGCAAAGTGCTGCTTGATTGTTTCCTTGTGTCGTGCGAGCCGTTGGTTTCTCTCGCGCAAGAACTGCAGCGCGAGCGCCAGCAGGCGGGAAAAGCGTTCCCGCCCTCTGGTGTTCCCGCCGAGTATAGCGTTCGATTTGTTTTGTTTGTTTGTTTTTTGCAGAAATATAATTCTATACAGAACATAGAACAATTGTGGGAATACATAGGAGAGAGAAAAACAAACAAAAGAAAAAATACTATTTACTTTAAAAACCGTTCTATAATACCAGATGTCTTCAGAGCTTTTATTGGAGGAGATTATTTGAAGCGATGGCAATAATAAATGTAGATCAGAAACTAATATTTTGTAGCTAGGTTTAAATTTAATGTATCTATCTTTGTTGATATGGTATTTACCCATCGTGCATATAAAGTTTAAGACATCATCTAACTGCTTAATGACAGAAATATCAGAACCTTACTGATAGAAATACTACAGAGCTGGTGGAACACAAGAAATAGGGAAGCTGATATCTGAAGCCAGAATGGTTTAGAATAATATACACACACTACTTCACTGTCTAGAGAACACTAGTGAGATCAGTTCAAAACACTGTTACAAAAACCTGCTTTTGAGAAACAGGAATCCTTTTGCTAGTCAATGACTGTTACAGTATACGAACACAAACAGGGGTGCAGATACAGTAAAATTCAGCAATAAACTGTAAGAAAAGTTTACTTTCACTACACTACTGTAAAGAGACATTACAGTAGATGAAAAGCACTACAAGAGAAAAGTTCAAAGACCAAACAACTGAATATACAGTAAACACACATTGGAATATACTGTAAGTTACTGTAAATAAATAAATTCATATTTATATTGTATGTGTAAGTAGTATTGAAACCCTGCAGATGAGCTGTAGGCTAACTTCCCGTTACTGAAGTAACTTATACTCTAACAAAGGTCACTAACTACATCATTACTTCATGTTTAAAGAATACTGAATTGAAATATAGATAAACATATAAAATCTCCTCACATGTACGTATAGTTCAAAGGCATACCTTCAATGATTATTTAGATGACAGCGTGATCTGGGTTTGCATGAGAAGTGTCCCTCCAAGGATAGAAATCAAACTCATAGAGCTATTCACGTTCCTTCAGTCTTGGGTGCAGTGATTCATCTCACTGAAGACACACACACACACACACACACAGACACACACACACACACACACACA